CAGTTAAATTTTTGCCTTTGTATTTTTCAAGAATTTTGTAATCAAGCATTTTAAAAAGCAATATTCTGATTTAGGGCATTTGTTTTGCTATTTTGATGGCTATGAATAGCCAAGCCTCTAAGTAGTAGGGACGGGTGGAACTGGCAGTATTGGCATTTATTGCAAGTCCACTTTTAATTTCTCTTAATTTTTATTTCAATTTGTGCTGTTTTAATGGAGAGAAGGTTAAATAAGCGCATCTTGAATTTGGAGTGGGAAAAGGTAAGACTTTAAGGGAGAGTGTCTTGGGCTTCCTTTTTACAGTATTGGATTGGATCCCAAGAAAACTCTCTCCTGCACAGCCTAGCAACAGGCAGCTTTGTACAGTTCTGTAGTTGTACCGTCTTCTAGGTCTAAATTGCAAACACCTGTTGTGTCCTTTCCCCCATGCCAATGGTTCTTAACCTTTGTCAAAGCATCCCTCAGAGTACCAGCTCTTAACTTTCACACTTTTTCACTACAGGAAAATCATGAAACAATTTATATTGTTGAGAGCTCAGATTACAACAGGTCAGAAATATTTTTGACAGAAACCCAGAGATTTCAAATAGGAATCATTTATCTTGTGAATCATCTGTAGGTATTTGTACACCTGACAGCACTAATATAGTGCATCACCCATAAAAGGGTCTTGTCACTTTGGTTGCAAATCACTGTCCTACACCTAGGAGCTGTAACCGAGGACTTTTTAGACACAATTTTTGTACCAAATTAACTATCTGGAAACAGACTAGCTAAAATGTATGCAACTGCTAGCATGGCTGCAGTTTTACCCTAATAAAGTGCTTGAGTCAGGTAGGTAAAGAGTTTGAAATGGCTTTAAAGAAAAACCCCAGCAACTGGATAGGCAAGTCCTAGGACTCCTTCTCCATAGGCTTCTTCCTTTCATTCTTCTGCTTTCTTTTGTGTCCTAAATGACAACCTTCTGCTCTTCTCACCTTCTTAAACACCCTCCCCACAATGTTTTTTGCTCCTGAAGATGCACTGACAAAGCCCTAGTTTTATCCCATTGATGTCAATCACTAAATTGTAAGATCCAAAGCGCTCCTCTCCCTCCCCTTCCATTTGTATGTGTTTAGCTTCAAGTCAGGTGAGATAAATTTCCACTTTTAGGAGCTGCTAGAAGTGGTAGTGTTGATTAAATGTGGAACTGGCAAAGGCCTCCAAATTCTTTTGCATTTGACTCGTTTCTCGTCATTCAAGTTGTCTAGTCTTGTTATAAGCTCCTTTGGGCAGGGGACCTGTCTCTGCATGTTTCCATCATCACGCTAATGCTATTTTAAAAGGCTGTATTGACTCGGTGAAATCTACAACTCTTATAGTTTTTTTTACAACTCTTAGGTTTTTTTTATCATACAAATTAAGTTTGTATGACAAAATCATAGAGCTCTGGAATCGCTTGCTTGGGCTCCAAGGTCATTTCATAAATGGACTGAAGCAAGAGAACATCGAAGAGGGGATCCAGTAGTTAAAAATATAGTAACAGGGGAGTTGTTGCAGTTGATATCTGGAGTATGCTTATAGGTATTGTTACTCATAGCTAGTCCTTGTTGGATTCATCTTCACTTCTTTTGAATTGTCTCTATTTACAACAGTTCCTTGTAAAATACTTATATAAAATGGTGAATCACTCAAGGCTTGGGCATGCAAAACGTAGCCCAGTTGGGAGGGGAAAGTCTGCAGAAGTTGGTAAGAAAGTGTTTGAGAGCAAGGTAAATTTAGCCCCTCATGATTATTGCTAGTTCTTACAGGGAGAACCCAGAAGCTGTTTAAAGATTAGAAAATAGTGGCCTACTCTGAGAACAAAGAATTTTCTGGTGACTTAAGGCTGAGCCTGCTTTTTTCATTGATGAGAAGAATTTGCTATCTCAGATCTCAAGTCTAATGCCTAGATGGGAGGAGTTGGCCTTTCTTTTTCCCCCCTTTTTTATTTAATGTCACTCTTCAGTATTTCTTTTGGATTTTCAGCTAAGTTTTGATCTAGTAAATGGGCAACACAAGCAAGTTATCTCAAAAGGAAAGGGCTGCTCCCCAGCCCATGTGTACGCTTGCTCCTGCGTTTGGAATCCTTGAGGGCTGTAAAACTGCAATAGATGACACAGCTATAAGTAGGCGGCACCTTTCAAATATCCTCATCATCTGTAGAGTCTGAGTAAGCTATTGTGCTATGTAACGTGTGACTCATAGCTTCTGTATAAAACTGTTTTTTAAGAAGTGTGACTACTAGTCAGTTTTCAGTGTCTATTAAGCAGGCTCTATTAAGGAGAGATGAGCCTCTTGAGATGCATCTCCTGTGAGTGAGGAAAAGTATCAATTCCTGTTGATAGCAAATGTAATGTAATTGCTTTGTCATTGTGAGTACTTCTAGGCTTTGTGCATATACATAGATGTCACTGTGAAACATAAAGCTTCTGAATTCTCTGTAGTCTTCTTTTTCATACCTAAGACCTGGGTATAGCAGTCTGCCAGGC